GTGGGGCAAAATAAATTATACCTAGGATATGAAAAATAAATTAATGGGTTTAGTTATCAAGTACTTGGTTCAGTGTCAAGTTGGTGGTGTAGTTTCGGGATCTGAGGAGGGGCCTGTAAATGCAGATTCATTTCTAGTAGAGGATGATTGACACCTAGGCAAAACTTGAAAAATCCATGGTCAGGGAGTAAAAAGGGAGGAGGGAGAGAAAGGGAAGGATTGGTGTGTGAGTGAGAATGTGAATGAGACTGAATTTGTAGTTTAATTCTCACACCCTTAAATGGCTTGGACCATCTTTAGAAGACTATATCCTAGGACTGGGAATTTATCCTAAATAATAAGGGAGAAGTAAACCAACAAAAGCTTTAAAACAACACATTGATCTTTAAAAATAATTTCACTTGTTTTCTACATCTTGATTGAGTTTCAATTGTTTTGAATCATTGTTCCATCTTTTTTTCAAAATTATTATTTAATCCCAGCACTCAGAAAGCAGAGGTTAGGTGGATCTCTGTGAGATCAAGGTCAGCCTGTTCTCCATAGTGAGTTCCAGGCCAGCTAGGCTACAGCTGGACCCTGGACCCTGTCTCAAAACCAAACCAAAACAACAGAAACAAAATAAATTATTAGATTAGGAGCTAAAGTTGTAGTATTCTATTACCCTTTTTATAAGAAATTAAAAGTTTATCTTAATTTAAAAATGTCCATTTCATCAAATTTTTTTGTATTATGTTTTATAATCATCACTAAAAAAGAGTAAACCTGTGTCTGTCCTGTAGCAGCTTCCGTTCCCTCTCTCCCAACCCTGGTCACCACTGTTTTCTTCTTCTGTGAATTTGCCTATTCTGAACATTTCATACAAAGGAAATCTAATACTATGTGACCGTTTGTGCTGGGCTTCACTTACATAGCCTGATATTTTCGATGTCCACATTTTAGCATGTGTTAACTTTCATTTCTTGGCTCCTAACTGCATCACTACAACTTTTACTTCCATTATCTTTTCTGACTCTGCCCTTCTACCTCCCTCATTCACATACAGGGATCCTTTTAATTATTATACTGGCTCCACTCAGGTAATCCAAAGTAATCATTCCTATCTCAAGATCTAAAATAATAACAACTATTATTATTATTTTGAGGCTAGGTTTCATGTAACTCAGGTTAACCTGGAATTCACTATGTAGCCCAGTCTGGCCTAAACTCATGATCTTCCCTCTTCTGCCTCAAGTGCTGGTGTCATAACTGACTTAGGGTTTTTAATTTGGTAAGAACCAAAAAGTCTTTTTTTTCATTTTAAGTAACATTTTGTCAGGTTTTGGGGATTAGAACATGTATACCTTGAAGGTGGAAGTATTATTTTATGTACTGCATGAATTCTAGATTTCTTACCCTACTGCTCCTAAGACTTTTTTTTCTCAGTGTGTTTTCTTTGTTGCTCCGATCAACTATTGATCTTGCTTCCAGATTCACAGAGTTTATCTTCTCTGATCTCTACATCATTGAGCCTCCAGCAGAATTTTTTGTTTTTCTTTGTTTTTTCTTTTTTGGTCTTTTTGAGAGGGTCTTTCTGTAGCCCCAGCTGGTCTAAAACTGGTTATGTAAACCAGGCTGGCCTTGAACTCACAGTGGTCCACTTGCTTCTGACTCCTGAGTGCTGGGATTAAAGGTGTGTGCTATGCTCCCTGGGGTTGGAGAGAATGCTCAGCAGTTAAAATCATGGCTGTTCTTGCCAAGGATCCGGGTTTGGTTCCCAGCACCCACATGGTGGCTAATAATAGTCCATAACTCCAGTTCAAAGGATCTGATGCCCTATTCTGACCTCCATGGATATTGTACAACATGGGTGTACTTAAATACATGCAGGCAAAATACTCATACATGCCGGGCGTGGTGGCACACGCCTTTAATCCCAGCACTTGGGAGGCAGAGGCAGTCGGATCTTTGTGAGTTTGAGGCCAGCCTGGTCTACATAGTGAGTTCCAGGACAGCTGGGGCTACAAGGAGACCCTGTCTCAAAAAGACCGCAACAACAAAAAATACTCATACACATTAAAAAATAAGATTGTACTACCACTCATGGCCCAGCAAACGTCTTATCTCAGTAATTATATGTCTTAGTTGTATAGTTCATTTGGTGCTTTAAAAATAACTTCTGGGGGCTGAGGATGTAGCTTTGGTGGTAAAACATGTGCTCGGCATTCGCAGGGCCCTAGGTTCAGTCTAGTACTCTTTTTCCTCCCTTCATTGTTTTTATAGAATTTTTTTTTTTTTTTTTTTTTTGGTCTTTTTGAGACACGGTCTTCCTGTAGCCCCAGGTGTTCTGGAACTCACTATGTAGACCAGGCTGGTCTCAAACTCACAAAGATCCACCTGCCTCTGCCTCCCAAGTGCTGGGACTAAAGGTATGCGTCACCACGCCTGGCTTTTTTGGCTTTTTTGAGACAGGGTCTCCCTGTAGCCCCAGGCTAGCCTCAAACTCACAGAGATCCGCCTGCCTCTGCCTCCCAAGTGCTGGGACTAAAGGTGTGCGCTACCATGCCTGGCTATAAAAAAATTTTAAACTACAGTTAATAATTAATGTGCTTGTATATGTGTCCCTGCACACGTGCATTTGGAATCTGTGTGACAAAGGAATAAGTTCTGTCTACTATATGGGTCCCAGGGTTTGAGCTTCTTTACCCCCTGAGCCATCCCCCCTTGTTTATTCTTTGAGTTTTTTTATTTCTATGAACAGAAGTATAAAGTTTTTATAATTTAAAACATCAACAAATTTCAAGATTGATTGAACTAGAACTTTACAAAATAGATACACAAAATATTACTCCATGTGATTACAGATTTAAAAACTGTGTGTCACAACTCCCAATTTCTAACCCAAGCCTACCAATTTTATTGATTCAAGTATTCTATACAATGAATGTATTTTAATCATGTTCAGACCCCCTCCCCCATTGCCACCTTTACTTTACCACCCCTACCTCCTTCCACCTCTGACTGCATGTCCCATATTAGCAAATGAAAAGCCCACCTGTCTTACACAACACATCTGAACTGGTTGCCAGAGAAATCATATCTCATTGGAATGTTAGTGATTTATAATTCTTACACACAAATGGGCCAAAGTAAGAGCCCATTCCTTTTCTTTTTTACATGATTTTGGGTCAGAATGTGCCTAAGTTTCTTGGGATGGAATTTTCACATACTTTTTTTGATTCGCTTACCCACTGCTTAGGATTGTCCAGTAGGGATTTCTCCGTCCTCAGCTGTCAGAACTGCTTGGATTTCCTCATCAAAATTAGTTACTTGTGACCCAAGTACCTGCAGGATACACTTTGACTGTTTTGGGGCATCAGTCAGCATAATCACTCCATTGTGGTCCAAGGCATTTTCCAACAGTTTTATTCCCCACAGGGTTTTACTCTGGGTAAAAGAAGAAGCTCTGATTTCACAGCAGGCAGCAGTTAGCTCACAGGCCTCCAACCCAACATTTTGTCACCCTAAGATTTTGTGAGTGGCAGTTGGGAGGCTTCATAGCATCGCACAACAGCTTTATAGCAGTGTCCTTTAGTGTATTTTCTGAAATCTGTACAGTTCAAGGTTTCTGTTGCTGCAGCCAGTACTTGATGATGATGGCTGCCCACTATGGGTAGCTGTGCAGTGGAAGCTTGCAGGTCTAGCATCTGGTAGGAGAGGTGTACTGGGGTGCAGTAAGGTGGGATGGTCGCAACCATCTCCTGGCTGAAGTCACTGCCTGGCCCTCTCACTCTCACTAGAGTCCGGTGACCAACATCTTAGCTCTACCCTGTCCATCAGGGCAAGGGTGGCCAGGCTCAAGAATTTTTCTTTCTCATGGTTGAGGACCCAGTTGGTTCTCTTGATGTCCATTGCTCTTGCGTCTTCTCCCATGTCCGGGGGGAACAAGTGATGAGACATCTTACTGGTATGGTGTTTTAAGTCCCAGAGGCTGACTCCCTGGGGCTTGCCTCATTTCACTATCATCTCACTGAGATTCTTAATCAAGTGAAGAGGCCATGAGTCATGTTTTAAGTATGTGCTGAGCTCTGTTGCTGCCATCACCATTGCTCTGGTGCCCGCAACTGCACTGTTGCCATCTTGGCTTTCCAGTTACTTTTTTTCTTACTTGCCAAAATTGGAGTTCAGAATTTAGAGATAAATATAAGAAGCACCTATGGTCAGGAAAATATTCACCTTGTGTGACATGGTCCATCCAGCACCAGCACTCAGTCATTTGGGAACTGGCATGCCAGCTTTTCTTTTTCAAAAGCCCCTGTTTTTTTTTTTTTTGTTTGGGATAGGATCTTACATAGTCCAGGCTGGTCTCCAAAATTGCCATGTAGCAAGGATGACCTTGAACTGATCCTCCTCCCTTTCCCAAGTGCTGGGATTACAGGTATGTGACAGCACATCCAACATCATGCCTATTTTGATTATATCCTGGACATTTGGTTTATTATGTTGGCAGACTCTTGATCCTATTCAAATCTTCTAGTTTAGCAGGTGCCCTATTTAGGTTTACGGTATAGCTTTCTATCCTACTTTTGTGAGTTGTAATTCTCATGGCGATTTAGTTTCCAGAGCTCTTACAATGCTGGTTTTTTCTATTTTTCTGGTACCACTGCAATTCCTGTTTCATCTCTGCAGAACCTGTCCTGACTGACTGGCTTGGCATTGCTAGAGATATGAGACAAGGATGAATCTGACATGCCACAGTTTTAAGTGTGGGATAGAGAACCATGCCCACGCTGATGCTCTAGTCAGTTGGGCCAGTCACCTGTCCTGGATGAGATCATCTGTCTGGCCTTGAGGCTGTTACTTTTATTTACTGGATGTTGTAGGGTATTTCTTCCCATCTGTTATCCACAATTGGAATAATATAACTTAAATTCTTCACTTGTTAAAACTGTAGGAATTAGAAATGTCATGTTTTTATGTGTGTGTTTGTTCATTTATTTATTCATTCATTCATTTATTTTTAGGGAGTGGAGCAACTGCTGTGGTCCAAGCAGCTTATTGTGCCCCCAAAAAGGAGAAAGTGGCAATCAAACGGATAAACCTTGAAAAATGTCAGACTAGCATGGATGAACTTCTGGTATGCATAGCTCATTTGTCTTAAATGAAAAGATATGCTCATATATTTATAGTAGAGAAATTACATCATGTTTTTAGCTTCTTTGGGCAAAGATTTATTTTCATTAATAAATAATAATAATTTTTTTTTATAAAATCAAGGTAAGTTGAAAAAAGTTATCTTTTCCCTCTGAGATTAACATTTGATATATACTCTTTTATACTATGGACATTTAAATATCTTTGCATTTTTATGATAATGCAATCGTTTGCTCTTTTTGAATAGTTTATCATACTACTCTTTCTATGTTTAGTAGTATCCATTGAATAGGTAGACCACAATTTATCATGTTCTGTGGTGTTAGATGTTTAGTCTGTTTTCTTATTGATGTAAACAATGATTATTTAATTATCTTATTTCTTTAGATAATACCATGGATTTGTTTTTTAGGTCAAGGGGAATATCTTTAAAAGATACTGGCTTTATAGAAGCATGGTATCAGTTTGTATTATGAGCACTGGTATAAGATGAGAGATAGAATGAATTTGTCCACCCTTTTTATTTATTTAGAAAAATTTAAGAGACAGGATCTCCCTGTAGCCCCAGCTGTCCTAGAACTCACTTTGTATACCAGGCTGACCTGGAACTCACAGAGATCTGCTTGCCTCTGCCTCCCAAGTGCTGGGATTAAAGGCATGTGCCACCATACCCAGCTTTATTTATGTATCTATTTTGAGCTGGTTTCATTATGGAGCCCTGGGTGTCCTGGAACTTACTTTGTAGATCACAGGGATCGATCTGCCTGCCTCTGCCTCCCAAGTGCTGTGACTAAAAGCCTGTGCCATCAGGCTTGGCTTTAGATTTTTTTATTTTTTTATTTTTTTGGGTCTTTTTTTTTTGAGACAGGGTCTCCCTGTAGCTGTCCTGGAACTCACTATGTAGATCAGGCTGGCCTTGAATTCACAGAGATCTGCCTGCCTTTGCCTCCTGAGTGCTGAGTGCTGAGACTAAAGGCATGCCACCACCATGCCTGGCTAGATTTATTTTTTAAGTGTTTTGGGCATTTGCGGGCCAGAGGTTGATGTCAGGTGACTTCCTCACTCACTATCCACCTTATCTTTTGAGGTGAACCTGGAGCTTGCTTTATTTGGCTAGACTGGTTGGTTAGCAAACCCCAGGGCTCCTCCTGTTTCTGCCTTCCAGTGCTGGCCAAGCACATGTCTGTCACACCTGGCTTTAATGTGGATGCTAAATAAACACTTTATCAACTGTGTAGTCTCCTCTCTTCCTCCTCCTCTCCCTTGTAATCCCAAGGATCAGTAGTGCTAACAGATACTCTATGGCAAAAAATGCAGCCAGACAGGGATTGTTTTATGTTTGTCTGTGTGCTGGGATTACTAGTATAGTTTAAGAATGTAGTGAGTACTCAGTAAGGACAATTGTCAGTTGTTAAAAAATCATTTAAATTTTTTTTTTTTTTTTTTTGGTTTTTTCTAGACAGGGTCTCCCTGTAGCCCCAGCTGTCCTGGAACTTACTATGTAGACCAGGCTGGCCTTGAACTCACAGAGATCTGCCTGCCTCTGCCTCCCAAGTGCTAGGACTACAGGTATGTGCCACCACGCCTGGCTTTTTTTTTGTATTTTTGAGACAGGGTCTCCCTGTAGCTCCAGGTAGCCTTGAACTCAAAGAGATCTGCCTGCCTCTGCCTCCTGAGTGCTGGGACTAAAGGCATGCCCCACCACACCTGGCTCATTTATTTAATGTTTTAAACCTTTAGTTTCTTTGGCTTAAAGTGAAAATATAAGTCCCTTCAGGTACTTTTATACCAGATGTACTAATGTTATTTTATTAAGTGATTTTTTTCTAAGGGTATATTCAGCTAGTACTAGAAAAGGTAGGGATGACCTCTCAAGATGGCTCAGTGGGTGAAGGGGTTTGCTGCCAAGCCTGACAACCTGAGTTTAATCTCTGGGACCCACATGGTAGAAGGAGAGAACCAGTTTCCATAAGTTGCCCTCTCATGTCCACATGTGCACCATGGGATGTGCAGATGGGACCGCACCCCAAATAAATAAATAAATAAAATTTAAACAAGGAAAAAACAAAGGACAGAGGTTAGGACTGAGATTATCTCTGTGGTTTAGAAGTTTTTCCATTGTCAACCATTTTTTTTTTCCTCTGGTGCTGAAGCTTTAACCTAGGTCCTCTTGCTTGCTAGGCAAGGAGTCAGCTGCTAAGCTACATCTGCAACCCTCCACACTGTCCAGAATTGAAGTGAATTTCTGGTACTGTCTGTACTGAGTATTAGGGAATAATTGGAATGAAAGAAAAAGTAGTAATAGAATTATATATGTAACTTGGAGCGGATGAGATAAATACTTGGGTAGAAGCTGAAGGAATGGAGAGGGTTGCTGCAGTGATCTGAAGTCAACTGTGGAGAAAGACACAGGCTTGGAAGGAGAGGTTCATTATAGTCTTGTTTGAAGATTTTGGAATAATGGTTGCCACTGGTACCTTAGAGCACCATTTGAACTTTGGGACAGCAGTGATGAAAGAAATCTATAAATTGTAAATTAATTCTGCTAAATCAAAATACAAAATTTAACCTATATATTAAAACTGGGATTTGAGGATACCAATGTGAATAGCTATCATTTGCCTTTTTTGAAAATTTATTTTGGCCAGATGCAGTGGTGGTCTCTCAGTACTTCAGAGGTGGGAGCAGGAAGATTAGAAATTCAAGGTCATCCTTAGCTACATAGTGAGTTTGGGGCCAGCCTGGAATACATGATATACTAGCTCAAAAAAAAAAAAGAATCCATTTCATTTTCTTTCTCCTTTTTTTTTTCGAGATTGTTTTTTATTTGATGTGATGGATTCCATTGAAAATAAGTAGTTTCCTTTTTATAAACATGCTTAAAATTTTTTTTCATTGTGAAAGTCTTTATTGTAAGAAATTTGGTTTAATAAAAAAATGTTAACAAGTTTCACTTAGCAAAATACACACAAATGGAAATCACAGTACAAAGAAAACTAAATCAAGGCTTCACCAATTCATACAATATTAATATTGTGTCTCAACTCCCTTTAAAAAGCTTAAACTTGGGACTGGAGAGATGGCTTAGCAGTTAAGAGCACTGACTGTTCTTGCAGAGGACCCGGGTTTAATTCCCAGCACCTACATGGCGGCTATGAACTGTCCTTAAGTCCAGTTCCGGGGGAATTTGAAGCCCTCTTCTGACCTCCACAGCACTGCATGACATGGGTGCATTCATCTACATGCAGGCAATATACTCGTACACATAAAATAAATTAAAAAAAAAAAAAGCTTAAATTTAACCTAAAAGATTTTAAATGAGAATATAAAGTAGAATGAGCAAGAGAATGCTCATCTTTGAATCGGGGCTCTAGCACCTTTGAGTTCTCCAGAAAAGTACTTCTCCCCAGTATGTTCACTCTGGGGTGCTGTAAAAGATCCACACTTAGCATACTTAGAGTACTTTAACTGAGGTGACATCACTCTGAAGTGTGCTACCAAAATGTTAATTGAGAAAAATTGAGGAAATGGTTTTAGTTTACTCAGCATTAACATGCTAGAAGAAAAGTTTGCATGAGAAACGCTGAAGATACCATTTTAAAATCCAGATTTCACAAACTAGGGTGTGAAGTGGGTCGGTCCCCCAGCTTCCTCTAGTTATGAACTGTACTTCACTGCATATTGGCTGCCTGTGATTCTTTTTTTTTTTTTAATAGAAATAACTCAAATGTTCTAACAGTACTAATCCTATGCACTCATGCTGTTCTGACCGCTGTCACAGGCTCCAGAACAGCCATTCACCGACTGGCTCTCCAGGCTACTACAGGAGGCCTGGGCCACTGACACACCCATGTTGGGTGTCATCTGGCTACTGTAAGCCCCATTTTTGGCCTGTTGTTGAATTTAGGAAGAGTTATATGTATCTGTGTTGCATTTTGGCCACATATGCAGTTATAGAAACTTTTCTAGTAATGAACTATAGCAGTGATCCTTGAAAATGTCTTAGGGCTTTAAAATTTGATTACAAAATAGTTGGTTTCCATATGGCTTTTTCAAACTTTTGTTTTGATTTACCTGTACTCTGACCCTTCATTTCCCTATCTGCCTATCCCCTGCTCTTGCTTAACACTTTCCATCCTCAGTATTCCTCTGTCTACTTTCCTGTTACTTATGTTCTATCCCCCCCATAAGTGACCACCTTTCCAATGACCTCTTTCTAGTGTCCTAGTTTCTGCAGGTACTCCAAGTTGAACACACAAAATTAGATTGGAAGCTAGGATCCACATGAGAGGGAGTGCTTATAGCATTTGCTTTTCTGTGCCTGGGGTTAATTCACTTAATATAATTTTTTCCAGTTCCATCCATTTACCTGCAGTTTCCTAATTTCATTTTTCTTTACAACTGAATCAAATTCTGTTGTTTATGTACCATATTTTCATGATCAGTTCATCAGTAGATGGACATTATGGCTAATTCTATTTCTTAGCTATTGTGAATAGAGCAACAGCAAAGACGAATGAGCAGGTATCTCTGTAGTAGGATATCGAGCCCTTTAGGCATATGCCCAGGAGTGGAATAGCTGGATCATATGGCAGTTCTAGTTATTTATTTATTTATTTATTTATTTATTATTTATTATTTATTTATTTATTTATTTATTTATTTATTTATTTATTTATTTATTAATTTTATGTGTTTGAGTGTATTGCCTGCTGGTGTGTAAGTGCTCCTGTGTTGCACAGTCCCCTTGGAGATCAGAAAAGGGCATCAGATTCCCCTGTAACTGGGGTTGCAAATGGTTGTTAGTCCCCTTTTTTTGAGACAAGGTCTCACTATATAGCACTGGTTGGCCTGGACCTTGTTATGTTGACCAGGATAGTCTCAAACTCAGAGGTTTGCCTGCCTTTGCCTCCCAGGTGCTGGGATTAAAGGTGCACTCTACCCAGCCCATTGTTGATTTCTTTTTTTTTTTTTTTTTTTTTTTTTAGACAGGGTCTCTCTGTAGCCCCAGCTGTCCTGGAACTCACTGTGTAGACCAGGCTGGCCTTGAACTCATAAAGATCCACCTGCCTCTGCCTCCCAAGTGCTGGCATTAAAGGTGAGCGTCACCACGCCTGGCTGATTTTTTTTTAAGTGTTAGGAGTACTTTACTTAAAGTACACTGATTTAAATCTTAAAATACCTTCATACCAACAGCTATAATTAGAATTTGTCTGAAATTGATGTCAGGGCTTAGCTCACATGCATAAACTAACCATTACCTATAGTATAGACATCTGAAGAACAACTCAAATGGACATTCCAAAATACCCTGCTGCTAGCCATGACAGGGAAGCTGCAGCCATGAAATCTCAATAATATGGTTGCCTAAAATGAACCTGCATAATGACAGCAGTTGAAATACCAATATGGATGAGGGAAATTTCACAAGGTTCTTCCTCTAGACGATGAGCTACAGGCAGTTAATGCCTGCTGAAAGGGGGATAAACCGTTTTCTCTAAGGAAAAGGCCATTGAGAGGTTATCCAGTCCTAAGTGGTCAACCAGGAACATATGAGTACCACTAAGTGCACTCAGTAGGCCCATTAAAGAAGAGATCACAAAGGGACCAGAGAGATAACTCAGCAGTTAAGAGCATTTCCTGCTCCAGCAGAGGACCTGGGTTCCTTTCCCAGCACCCACATGGTGGCTCTCAACTGGTCATAATTCCAGTTCCAGGGGATCCAACACACTTTTCTAGCCTCCATGAACACTACACTTATGTGCATGTGGGCAAAACATCATACACATAAAAAGGAATAAATTCTTTACCTGGGTTTGGTGGTGCATACCTTTAATCTCAGTATTCAGGAGTCAGAGGTAGGTAGATCTCTGTAAGATCCAGGCTAGCCTGGTCTACATATTGAGTTCCAGACCAGCTAGAGCTACAGGGAGAGCCTTTTTCCAAAAAAAAAAAAAAAAAAAAGGATGAACTGAGAGGTCATGAAATTGAGAGGTGTGAGAAGAGTTGGGGGGCAGAAGGAGAGTTAAAAATGACATGTGGGGCTGGAAAGATGGCTCAGCGGTTAAGAACACTTGTTCTCACAGAAGTCCTGGGTTCATATCCCAGCACCCACATGGCAGCTAACAACTGTCCATAACTCTAGTTCCAGGGGATCCAACAGCCTCTTCTGTTCTCCGCGGGCATTGCACGACACAGGTGCACTTACCTACATGCAGGTATAACACTCATACACATTAAAAAAAAAAATAGGGGCTGGAGAGATGGCTCAGCGGTTAAGAACACTGGTTGTTCTTGCAAAAGACCTGGGTTTGAATCCCAGTACCCACATGGCAGCTAACAACTGTCTGTAACTCCAGTTCCAGGGAATCTGACAGCCTCTTCTGACCTCTGTGGGCATTGCACAACACAGGTGCACTTACCTACATGCAGGCAATACACACATACACATAAAATAAAAATAATAAATAAAAAAAAATGACATAATAAAATGACATAATATGTGTCAGAGGTGATATGTTGTGATAGCTGGGTGAAGAAGTACAGTATTAAATCACAAGCCATGAGTCTTAAGCCCAGTGTGTAAAGACACATTCTGAGTTATAACACAGAGGCATAACTAAAAAAAAAAAACAAAAACGATATAAATACAGTACTCATGAGATTCTCAAAAGGTTTAAAAAATATTTTAAATATTCCAAAAATCCTTTATTTCTTCTGTTTTCCCATAATTTATAAAATCATCATTATGTTTGTTTTCCATTGTTGATTTCTTGATGATATCCCAGTCTGGCCTCCAATTTACAATGTTGCCAAGGATGATCTTGAACTTCTGATCCTCCTCCTTCCAATTCCTAAGTGCTGGAATACAGGTGTGTGCCACTATACCTGGATTGAACCTGGGGCTTCATGCATCCTAGGCAAGCACTCTACTAACTGAGCTACATCACTAGTCTTGGTTAACTCTTTTTTGAGAGAGGGTCTCACCTCATTGCCCAGGCTTACCTGTAACCTGCTGTGTAGCCCAGCAAAGGCTGGACTTGTGATCTGCCTGCCTTAGCCTTCCTAGTACTGGGATTACAGAGATGGGATACCATGTGTGGCCCATTTGCTAGTTATTGTATATAATTAGTAAGGATACTATTGAGATAAATATCTTATTTACTAGTTAGTGACTGGGGCTCAAAATTTAAGTTCCTTGATTAAGTTCTGATGGTGATTACAGCAAACATCCTTCATTGTACTTTTACCTCAAACATCTCAGTAATAGGTTGTAATTCTCTCTTACAGATGAGGTGGGTAAATCACATAATAAGAGGCAGTGTCTAGATTAAAAATCAGGGTTTTCTTACTCAAAACTAATGTTTTCTACTTAGCACAGCACTAACAAAATGATAATCTTAGTTTAAAAGTTGAAAGAACATTGCTTCTTAAATGTGTGATGGAAACTCTTGAGAAGCCTGTATTTCCTTTTCAGTGTGTACTTGATTCTGAAGCTAACTTACTTTCAATTCCTTTCTTTGATCCCTGAATTTATTCTCTGAGGGCAAGAAGAACCTGGAAACTCAGAGGAGAGGTGTTAGTGTGATCTCTGTCTCTGTAACTTCCCCAGCCTTCCCTCACTGGTAACATTATTGGCAAGCCAGGGCCAGTAGATGACCCATTTTCTAATCCCTAAGCTCCTCCCACTCCTTTGCAAGAATTACACACTGGGAAAATGCAGAATAGTAGGACCTGTGATCAGGTGGGGCACCTGTATCTAAACACCCTACCACCACCTCCAGTTGGACCCAAACTCTTGTACTTAAAGAACTGCTCCCAGGGTCCACAGGGATCACCTTAGGTAGAGTGAAAAAGATGCCTGATTTATTGATGATATTAAGACCTGAGATCTGAATGCTGGGGTCTCTTTCTGAGAGATATGAAGCCCTTCAGGTTATCTTTAAAAAGCTGAGGTCAGGCCGGGCATGGTGGTGCATCCTTTAATCCCAGCAGTTTGGGAGGCAGAGGCAGGTGAATCTTTGGGAATGTGAGGCCACCAGGGGCTACAGGGAGATCCTGTCTCAAAAACAAAACAACTCAAAACAAACCAAAAAATCTGAGATTAACATGTAGAATTTGGGATACTGTAGTATTAGAATTTATTTTCAGTATTGTTTTTATTGCAATGCAGAAAGAGTACCATGGGTTCTCTGAAGAGTACTAGTATAAACCAGGCTTACATGTACATATCTTTTTTAAAAAAATTAAACATTTCTTTTTAAAAAGTATTCTATTATTTTTTAAATATTTTATTTACTATTTTTATTTTATGTGTATGAGTGTGTTGCCTGCATATATGTGAGTGCACCCATGTCGGGCATTGCTGCAGAGGTCAGAAGAGGGCTGTGGATTTCCCTGGAACTGGAGTTAAGGATGGTTTGTAGCCCCCATGTGGGTGCTGGGAATCGAACCCAGGTCCTCTGCAAGAGCAGTTAATGCTCTTAACCACTGAGCCATCTCTCCAGTCCTAATTTTGTTATTATTTTTATGTGTATGAATGTATTGCCTGCATGTATGTAAGTGTGCCCATGTCATGCAGTGCCCACGGAGGTCAGAAGAGGGTGTCAGATCCCCTGGTGCCTATCTGGAAGGCAGATGACTACTTGTGGGAGTTGGTTTTCTCCTTCCATTATGTAGGTTCTCGGTGTTGGGGTATAGGCTGGATGTTTTCAGGTTCTTGGCTTCTTTTCAAAGAATTGAAAATAAGGGCTTACATAGATTTGCAAAAGTAGCAAGGTTATAATACAGATTATAGAGAGATACACTGTTAAGATTGTCATCAGACCACATGAGTGAAAGTACTCAAGGATCCTGGGCTACAGACATCCTGAGGTCTCTTTTATGTGATCTAAATGAAGTGAGGGACTGGTCACTAAGGGATGTAGTTTATGTGGCTTTCTATTTTGATTGATAGATTAGGCCATGTTTATTTTTCTTACTAGGCATGTCCCTTCCCATAATACATCTGACTTTAATCTGCACACTCAATTATGACTAGGCATAAAATGGGAAATAGGGGATTGTCCCTAAAAGTTCACTTGAACGCCCAGTTCAGATTGGATTGGCCTTTCTATGTACCTGATACATTGAGACTGTACTTGAATAGAAACTGTCAGAATTTGATTGTTGCTACAGGTGAAGGCAAGGAAGTATGTGTAGTCCAGTGGTGATCTGAGGGAGTGCTAAGGTTGCTAGGTACATTGTTGGAAGAGGTGTGTTTGCCTAATATGTGCAGGTGAAGGAGGTACACTGCCAAGTGGTGCATTATAAGGAGGGGGCTTTGCAGAAACAAAACCAAATAGCATTCCAGGGTACTAAACTGTCCTGTGCTTGCCTGCCTAATTTGGAGAGCAAACTCAGATTGTCAGATTGTCAAGCACCTTTACCCACTGAGCCTGCAAAACTTTTTGCAAGAGTTCTCATATGCTGAGTTTTCATGTGTTGTTCTCTCAGCTTCCTCTAATACTAACATAACCATGGTTGCAGTTATCATAACTGAAAAGTTAGCTATTACATTTCTCCATGATCTCCTATTCTGGTAGTAGTAATAGTCTATAGAGTTCTTGGCTCTAGTCTTACTGTCTCCATTTATTTCCTAAATTGCAGTTATAGTAATTTATGAAAGGTCATATGGTTGAACCTTTGATGCCATTCCCTAACTGTTAGGATGAAGGCTAATTTTTAAAATATACTTAAAAGGTCCTGCATGATGTGGTTCAGGTAATTAAACACTCAAAAGCCTATTTCAGTGTCAATGCAATAAAACTTCAAAGCCCTTACTGATTATGACACAGATTTTGTTAATGTATCTCTCCAGTGAACTCTTTTAATGTCTAATACTTTGCCTTATCAGACTGTTTACTATTCTGTGTTGTAATAGTATTTAACTTCTTTACCAGACTTTGAGTTTTATGAGGGCTCATCACTATAGTCATGTTAGCACTGTGCCTGACATATAGTTGGTCTAATAGGTACTTAATAAATACATATCTTTGGAAAGCAGGAACTACTTACCCATACAGCTTTCCTAATTAAAATTTGTTTTTATTATTATTTGTGTGTATACATGAGTGTACGTGTGTATGTATGTATGTATGTGTATGTGTGTATATACATGCCAGTGCCAGAGGTGTGGGATCCCCTGGAGCTGGAGTTAGAGGCACTTGAGAGCTACCCAGTGTGGGTGTGGGGAACAGAACTTTGGCCCTCTAGAAGACTAGTATAAACTCTTTTTTATAATAATTTTTGAAATATTTTTATTTTATGTGTGTGTTTTGCCTTCATGCAGGTAAGTGTAACACGGGCATACAGTGTCCAAAGAGGCCAGAAGAGGGTGTTGGATCCCCTGGAACTGGAGATAAGAACAGTTTTTAGCTGCCTTGTGGGTGCTGGGAAGTAAACCTTGGTCTTCTGCAAGAGCATGCTTTTAACCACTGGGCCATCTCTCTTTTTCTTTTTCTTTGAGACAAAGTCTTGATATGTAGCCCTGGCTGGCCTGGAATTTACTGTGTAGACCAGGCTGGCTTCCAACTCAACAGAAATCAGCCTATTTCTGCTTCCTGAGTACTGAAATTAAAGGCATTTGCCACCATGCCTGGTGCCGTATACATGCTTCACCTGAGCTAACCAGTTTTTGATCCCAAATTGGATCCTTTTTTGTGGAACCAGTACTGTGCTGATTGAGCGGAGATAGACTTGCAAATCTCCACCTGGTGATGATTGGGAGCTACAGAGAGTAAAAGAAATACAGAGAACAGATAGGCTAATAAAAGGGAGAAATAGGCCAGGTGTGGTGGCACACGCCTTTAATCCCAGCACTTGGGAGGCAGAGGCAGGTGAATCTTTGTGAGTTCAAGGCCAGCTTGGTCTACATAGTGAGTTCCAGAACAGCTGGGGCTACAGGGAGACCCTGTCTCAAAAAGACCAAAAAAAAAAAAAAGGAGAAATAGGTCTTTTTTGGGAATTTTTTTCTGTTCCTTCTTATGATTTTTTTCCCCTAATGATTGTCTTGGTAGTTGTCAGTTGTCAAAGTTGGAGTGGAGGGTGTGATTTAGCATGCAGATGGGAATTTACTGAAGTTAAGGGTTGTCTGGTAGACCTGATTACCATCTGAGATCCAACCAGCTTTGATCCATTTACCTGAGAGGCAGCTTCTGACTCAGCTGTCCTGTTCTTAGCTATAAACAGTATTTGGGCAGTATAGGAATTAAGCTAGGTCACTGAAGCAGTACATGATTAGGGCAGGGTAACAATTGTGTCTTAAGTATATCCTGCATATTTATTCTTATTTAAAAATTACTTTGGGGCTAGGGATGTGGCTTAGTGGTCCTTGGCTTAATTCCTTAACAACCCCCCCTCCAAAAAAAAAAAACCCCAACTTATTATGCTGTTTACTTTGTAGTGGTACAGTTTCCCCATAATCTATAAAGCTAAATCCAGGTTCCACCTCCTCCATAAAGACTTGCTTTTTGTTGTTGTTCTGGCTTTTTTTTTTTTTCTTTTTTTGTCTTTTTGAGACAGGGTCTCTCTGTAGTCCCAGCTGTCCTGGAACTCACTGTGTAGACCAGGCTGACCTCTGTCTCACAAAGATCCACCTGCTTCTGCCTCCTGAGTGCTGGGATTAAAGGCTTTTTTTTTTTTAAATTTTAATTTTTTAATTTTTATTTAATTTTGTTTAATTAAAAAAATTTTTTACTATTTTTATTTTATGTGTAGAAATGTATTGCCTGCATGTGTGTAAGTGCACACATGTTGTGCAAACCCAGGTCCTCTGCAAGAGTAGCCAGAGCTCTTAACTGCTGAGCCATCTCTCCAGCCCCTTATTTCTTTTAAAAGACAGGGTCACAGGGTGTCCTGGTGCACCCTCTTTAATCCCAGCACTTGGGGAGAGGCAGAGGCAGGCGGATCTCTTTGAGATAGAGGCCAACCTGGTCTACATAGGGAATTCCAGGTGAGCTGAAGCTATAGGGAGACCCTGTCTCACAAAGACCAAAAAAAAAAAAAAAAAAAAAAAAAAATCATAAACAGAGATTTAACCTTTTGGTACAGATTTCTACTTTGGATGTAAGTTTATAGCTTTGTCCCATTTCAGTGTGTTTTCTTTTTAGTGTGAAAAACATTTCACAAAGATGAGGTAAACTGATAGTTTACCAAGACAAAATAAGTTGCACCCCCCTCCCCCAAACAGTGACAAAATCCCGTACCCTCTGCTTATTAGTAATTATTCTCTGTGGCTATAAAGTCAGATTTCCGAAGATGGTTCTTCAAGAGCATTTTAAAATAAAAAGATGTGTTCCAGTGGAGGCTTTCTATGGTACTGTGTATGATAGTGAATGCTTCTGCTTTCAGAGATGACTGTAGTGAGTAGAAGTAGTAAAGTCAGAATGGACTGTGGGAAACCATTTTGATGAGTGATTTTCTGATTTAGCCTTTTTAATTAAAATTTTTTTTAAGATTTTATTTTTATTTTATGTGTATTTATGTATATGAGTGTATTGCCTGCATGTATGTAGGTAAACCCAAGTTGTGCAGTGCCCACAGAGATCAGAAGAGGGTGTCAGGTCCCCTGGAACTGGAGTTATGAACAGCTATTAGCTGCCATGTGGGTGCTGGGAACTGAACCTGGGTCTTCTGTAAGAGCAGCCAGTGCTCTTAACCACTGAACCACCTCTCCAGCCCCTAAAAAAATTTTTTTTTGAGACAGGCTCATGCCAGTGTAATATAACTCAGGCTATTCTCTAACTCTCAGTCCTCCTCCTGTGGTTTCTCAAGTGTTGGGATTATAGATGTGTGCAATCTGGTCCAACTCCTGCTTCTGGTTTATCCATTCCTGAAGAGATTACTTACTTGAAGGTCCCAGAAAAGATTTTTTAATAATCTTGAGATCACCAAATCTGCATTTGTTAATTTTCACATTTGTTTTAAGCTGGCATATAATGAATTACCATGTATTTTCTTCTTTGTAGAAAGAAATTCAAGCCATGAGTCAGTGCCATCATCCTAATATTGTATCTTACTACACGTCTTTTGTGGTAAAAGATGAGCTGTGGCTAGTCATGAAGCTGTTGAGTGGAGGTGAGTTAAACATCATATCATGAAATGCTGTTTTATGGGTTGAAAGTTTAATAAAAGTTTCCTTCTTTCTGTCCTGATAGGGTTCCATGGACATTTTTCATTTGAGAAGATAAGAACATAGTTCCAGAAAAATGCTGGTGTGTGAGAAGTAATAGATCTCACACGTTGCATCTGTCTGTCATGCCTCTTAAACTTTTCTTAATTTAGGGTGGCTTCCTCTCCCTTCCATGATAGAAAGTTATTGAAAAATCTTGTCCAGTTATCTTGTAGAATGACTTATATTCTGGATTTATTTGATTACTTCTTAATGTTGTTAAACTTGATGCATATGTCTATGAAAAATAGAAAGACTTGATTGAATTCGAGCTAAATATTTTTAGACAGAATGCTTTGCAATGTTATATACATCATATTACATCACATCAGGAAATATTTTCTTCTATCTGGATGTGTCTTTAAATGGTGATGTTAATTTTTTTTTTGCTTAAGGTTGTGACAACCCATGCCTCCCTGTGGAAAATTAACTTTTTTCCTTTTAGCTGGCAGGGAATCTGTGAGATGAAACTTGGCATTATTAGTTTACAGCTCCCCATCAGTCTTTATTGTTTTAACCTTATAATCCTTATTTGAATCAGTTAATTCATTGAAGTTATAGTTATTTTTATTATTGTATTATTTCTTTGGTATTTATAAACTGGCATTCTTCTTTGAAGAAGAAATTTGCCTTATTAATGGGAGTTCTTTAGTCTGGACAGTAATTCCTACTAAAAAGGCAGAGTAAAAATGGTTGAGGGCAGGTGAGATGGCTCAGCAGGTAAAGCGCTTGCTTGAGACTTGTGTTCCATCCTTGGAACTCACGCAAAGGTGGAAATACAGAATTGACTCCACAAAGTTGTCCTCTGACCACATGCACTCATGCCTTCCACTCAGTAAAAGATATTTTTTAAAATTATTGAATTGGGCACAGTGAATCACAGGAATCCTAGAGTACAGGAAATCTAAGACAGGAAGCTCTAAGTTTGAGGCCAGCTTGGTCTCTTTAGCTAATTCCTTGCTTTTTGATTTGAGATGTGTGTGTGTTTGTGTTTGGGTGTGTTCTTTTTGGTTGTTTATGTGTGTGCAGATACATGTATGTGCAGGTGTGTGTGTGTGTGTGTGTGTGTGTGTGTGTGTGTGTGTGTGTGTATGTATGTATGTGTATGTAGGCCAGAGGACAGCTTTGACTGTCATTCCTCAGGTACTATCCACTTTCTTTGTTTTGCAACACAGTTTCTTTACTGGCTTGAAACTTGTCAGGGAGGCTAGGTGGAGTGGCCAGAAAACCTTGGGGATCTACTTGTCTCTACTTACCCAGTGTTGGGATTACAGTCTTCCCCCCCCCACCCCAGTAGGTTCTGGGGATTGAATTTAGGTCCTCTTGCTTGCTTTTTACTGATTGAGCCATCTCCTCAGACCTATTTATTCAGAATTTCTTAGGTTCACATTTATATTCCTTTTTTTCTAGGTCTAGAATCAGCCAGTATTCTGAGCAGATTTGATACTTTTTCTGAGGAATGATGTTACAAAGCATAATTTAAATACTTGGAGTGTTCGTTGCTGCCATACTGTCAGTGCTTCTATAGTTT